ACTTGTAACATCTGAAAGCCAGAAAATGAAGGCACCGTACCTACAGACACTGAGGGGACAGGCTGCAGCCTGGGGACCCCTCCCCTAGCCCAAATGTCATTCGTCCACCGAGAATAAGAAATTGTGGACAAGCAAATCGTCAAAGAGCCTGTCACCTGTATTTGCTCACATATTATTTGAAGAATGAAGAAATACTCAAGAAAGAGTCCTAAACAGGTAGTTAATGAATCAGAACAAAGAACAAAACAGGGAAACGTGAAGAACAGAGGAAACCAATAAAAGGTAACATGTCCAATATGAATAGTAAACTCCAAATAGACAATGATGGGATTGCTGGGAATGTGTGCTATAGGAGCTAAGTAAGGATTCATGAAAAAAAAGAGAGAGATACTGCAGGGAAAAATTTTAAATTGACAAATGATATTAGCAAAATCTAGGGGTAGGAGATGCAGGAGAAGTAAAAACAGGGACCCTGGGCAGGAGAATACTAAAAGTAGTATAAAGGTTTTTATTCCTCAGAGTGACGAAGGAGCATTGGAGAAACGGGACATCTCGCCAGAGTAAATTATTTGGCATCTTGTTTTTATATAATAATAGAAAAATATGCTTTTGGTAACCACTAAGTGGAATGGAAAAGAACAGCAGAACTTCAAAATAAAGGGAAAAGAGGAAAAAGATAGTAACATGGTCAAAAGTGCAAAATGAGGAAAGTGAAAAAGCAAAAGCAGTAACGGAAAATAGTAAAAAATAAAGTGGAAGAAATAGAACAAGTGTATTGACTATTACACTAAGTACGAAGAGGCCGTATCATCCTATTACATTATGGAAACACTAAGATTAGGTTAAATATAAAACATTACCTCTGCTAGTTTAAGAAATACAGTTAAATGGAAATGATAAAGTTAAAATGATAAACGTTAACACAAAGGGATAAGAAAATATCAGGAAAAAAAAGGAGGCGTGGCAACATGAACATCAGATATGCTGGAACGAAGTTAAAAGCACTAACAAGGATACGAATGGGTAGTTTGTGAAGAATCAATTTTATGAAGAAGCGATGATAGTCAATAGACATCAAAAATGTAGCTGTTAAATATATGAGACGAATGTTTTAGAAATGCAAAGAGTTTAATAAAACCATACAATTATAGTTGAATTTTAATAAACCCTTTTCAGATTTAAGATCTCATAGACAAAAAATAAACAAGCACATAGAAGAAACGAATGATGCAATTAATCAATCAATTTAATACGTATTTCTTTCAAATAAAAAAATTTGCATTTTATGTGTCCAAATGCAATCAAGTACTTGGTTACAAAGAAAAATTCATAAAATTTTAAAATAGAGATTTTACAGGCCATATTCTCTGTTTATGATCCAATAAGTTTAAAAATATCAAAAGATCCTAACTGCTGGAAATTAAGAAACACATTCTCGAAAAATCCTAGGTCAAAGAGATATCAAGACCAAAATTACAAACTAGTTAAAAACTGATGAAAGTAGAATACTTTATTCTAAAACCTACAGCACATAGCTAAAGCTGTACTCAGGAGAAAAGTAATAGCATTAAATGCTTTTGTTGTTAAAAGAGCAAGACCTAAAATAAAAAATCCTTTACATCAATTTAAAAACATTAAGAAAAGAAAAACATTTAAATAAATCATGAGAAAACAGACATAATAAATCAATAAAATAGAAAACAAACTGAAAACAAACAGAAAAGTCAAATTTCAAACTTCTGCTTTGACAAAGTCAATAAAATGGATGAAATTCTCACAAACTTGATTGAGGAAGAGACAGCAAAATTATATAACATTAGAAATTACAAAGGAGACGAAGCCACAGGTACAGGAGAGATTGAAATTATTGTGAGAATGTAACTCATAATTCTATGGCAACAAAATTTTAAAACTAAAAAAATGGATTATTTTCTAGCAAACGAACTCTCAAGTTTGATCAAGAAGTAGAAAACTTGCCTCTGTCAATTAACACAGAAGAGATTGGAAAGGTGATTCAAGGTGCAGCAGGACAACACAGGACTCTTCAGTGTAGGAGCAAAGATGAAAATGGGAGGGGAAATGGTGAGACCAAAGGTGAGGTCTGGGGACAATGGAGAGAGGTGTGTGTGATAGAAAAAGTTATGACAATGTCTCCTCTAAAGCTCCCTTTTTCCCCGACCCCATACTTACATCCCTACTCTCTTTAATGACTGCTTATTAATGTTCGGCAATAAATATTTGTGCTCAACTATCATTTATATAACCAAGAGCTAATGCTGGTAGTTTGGGGTGATAGTGCAAAACAGCTGGGACATGGACCCCAAACCCCTCCCCTTCCCTCCTGGTGGCCTGCTCCTGTGCAACCTCATGCCAATAGTGAGAATCTGTAAGTTAGAGAGTCTGTGAGACGGGGAAGTGCAGAACAAAATCAGTTCAGGGAGCGCCTCAGTCCCATAAGACTAATTGGGCTACTTCAGAGGACATCTGGGCATCTGTCCATAGCCTGTGGACGGTGTGACCTGCACTGGGCAGACTTTTCTTAGAGGAGTGGGGATTTTTACTTCTGCCCCACCCTTATCCATGCCCAGGAGAGAGACATAGCATCTGCCCATGAGTCTGGCTTAATGAGATTTGTTCTGCCTCCAGGAGGAGCTTGTTTAACCACATTTGGGAAATAACATCAATTTTCTGCATCTTAGCCCCAAAAAGATGTTTTTAAAACATTTTATCACTCCTGCATGATTTCTTTTGGCAAACGAATTGAGCAATTAATAATACTTTATCCAGCTATTTCCTTCTTATATCAAATTAGTAGATAATTTGTTTTTCTATTTCTGCATAAATATCTGGCCATTTTGATCACAGTATATTATAGAATTTTTGGGACCCTGTGGTTTTTCCAGAATTGCAGAACATATATTTTTTTCCTTTTTCTGACTGCCTTAGCTTGTATCCATTTGTCTTCAAATGGATACAATACAGTTAACTTTTAATTCCTGGGGCAGGGGGTCGGGGATAAAGTGGGAACTTCAGGGAAAATAAACCCCGAAACCCAGATCCCTGTGACCAAGGTGGTACCTTGTAAATGACAAACTATGAAGCAGAGTGAGAAGAGAGGGAGGGAAGGAAATGATGTTATCCATGCGAGCTGAAAGAAATTTTCATATCTAACTAGTTTTCCTCCCCTGCAAGTCCAATAAAAGACAGTTCCATCAGAACCAATTCTCGGGCGGAGCCTCTCAGGGGCTTAATGAAAGGCGAGGGGATTTCCTAGGGCAATTTGCGGGGTCATCTCTGGTTTTATCATCTCTTGTCAGAATACCTTGGGGGTTTCCCCTCTAATTTGGATAGTTTAATATAAGAAGCGAAGCCCCTGTCCTCCTCATAGGGGCATTCATGCATCGTAGGATGGGGGACCAGCTGGCCTTTACACTCCCTTCCAATCCTGAGACTCTATGATCCCCTCTGCTCTTCCCGCTGGAAACTCCTGCACTAAAGTGTCATGGTTTTTTCTTCCTCCCATGGTGGTGCGCCCGCTGGCCGAGGGAAAAACAGTGAGAGGGCTGAGGACGCTGAGCCTCAGGAACAGTTCCCAGACGTTTATTTGGAAGGAGGGACAGTTTACAACTGCATCGCCTAGTACACATCGCTGGGTCTGTCAATTCTTAGAGCCTCAGGTCGGACCTTCCTGATTCTGGTCATATTAATCTCATTTTGAGTTCCTTCCATTTCCTAAGAATCTTCGTACTATCACCCAGCCTTTTAATGCCTTTGTGGCTCCGTCTGTTGTAAAGAACCTGGTGATAGCCCTCAGGGCCTGCCCAGTGTCCATCAGCTCTTGATTATAATGTTGATCATCTATATCAGGTGCTGGCAATCTGCTGCTTGTGGGCCAAATCTAGCTTGCTGCCCGTTTAATAAAGTCTTATTGGAACACAACCAAATTCTTTCATTTACATACTGTCTAAAACTGTTTTTGGCTACAGTGACAGAGTTGAGTATTTGTAAAAGAGTCTGTACGGCATTCAGAGCTGAAAATATTTACTATTTGACCCTTTCCAGAAAAAGTTTGTTAACTCCTAATCTGTATATAACTAAAGACTGAATGCAAACTAATGACTATCTTAGTTGGGAAGCCACGTTATAAAATTCATGGATAATTGTTTGTGCTTCTATAGTCAAGGCTAACCATTTAAGTATCATAGACCTCATGGAGCCTCCGACACCCACAAACAAATAGAAAAATAAACTAAATTTCTCCAGCTTTTTACACACCAAGCTCACGTACTTTCCTCAAATGAAATTTCTGCTTGAAGTTGCTGGTTTGGGCTACACTGAGAGATGCTTATCCCTTATAATAGAAGACATACAGGGTTCTAATTGATGAATTCCTTCTTGCTATGGGGTATCATCTTGCCCTTTACTCTGACAACTGAATGCTTGAGACTCCCTGTTTAGACACCTTCAATCCCCTAGTTGTCCCTGTTTTGACTTTAAAACTTACCAGTGTGAAATTCTCTTTTATATAAAGTTATATGTACCCAACAGCCATTAGCTCTGTGCACTATGGTGCCTTCACTTCTTTGCATGTGTGCCCTGAATTTTCACCCACTCCATGTCTGCCTAGGAACCACTCAGCAAGTTGAGTTTTATAGCATCTATTATTTAGTTAAACATGCCAAAAAGATTATCTTAATCACTTTCCTAAAAGACTAAATACAAATCATGTTTTCGTTTTAAGTCAATGACACAGGCCTTACTTCTAGCTCCAGCAAGCTCATTACCAACTTCCTCTAATGCCACATGGTGAATAGTTCTGGCAATTTGAGCAAAGAGAGAAAACCAGCATCAGGAGAGTTACGGATGTGTTTGATTCCAGGCAGGTGCAAGGAGAGGCAATGAAGGTGAGTGCTGCAGCCGATTGACCCAGAATTGAGACCACAGGAAACAGACACAAAGTCCAGGCAAAGAGCATTTCTGCCTGGAACTTGGCTAGTCACCGCTGAGAGACTTCTCTTCTTCACTGCTTTTTACTGTCAGGTAATAGATGCGGTTGGCCTCTGGGTAGGTGACTTTGCTGAGTGGGAGCTTGTAGATGGCGGGGCTGTTGGTTGTCAGGAGCAGGAAGATGAGGGTGGAGAGGCAGAAGGCCCAGGTGCCTGGTGGCACACCAACCTGGAAGCAAAAGCGTTGGGGGCTGAAAGTGTTCCTAGGCTTCGGGGATCCTGGGGAGAAGGATGTGGCAGGGGTTGAGGATGGGGATCCTTCTCTAGTGATGGCATTGATGTCTAGACTCAATATCAGAGCAGTTGGTCTAGAGATTTGAAGTGCTGTCATCTTTGGACACAATTAGAGTCTTTTAATGATGGTTCTGAAAATTGGCTTAGCAATGGTTGAACTCCCACATCTATCCAAATGCAAGTACTCTATATGTCCATCGATGTTCTCCACTGCTGGTTGCATCTCTCTCTCTCTCTTTCTCTCTCTGTCTCTGTCTGTCTCTGTCTCTGTCTCTCTCTGCCTCTCTCTCTCTTTCTCAAACACACACACACACACACACACACACACACACACACACACACACACACACACACACACACCACCTCAGAGTTACATGTACACAATTGCCAGTCCTTCTCTGGGCAAACTTTGGATAAACACTGGCAAAGGCATTGTATGGAGCACCAACTACCACAACCCATTCAGGATTCTTCCACAAGACTCCAAACATTCTGAAAGCCTGGCTGGGGAAGGGCCCAGTGTTCAGAGAGCCCAGACTTACCACCGCCATCATGTTGGAGAGGGCTGCTTCCAGGTACGCACAGAACAGGGCTGTGTTGGAACAAGGACCATCGTGTTAGCTCCCCAAGGCCCATCCTCACCCCTCTCCAAGAGCAGGGGTCCCACTCTGTCTCCAGCAGCCTCAGTGTCTACACTACACCCTGACATTGGGGGTGTTTGCCTGACTTTGTTAGTTATCTTTACGGTAGGTGTGGCCCATCTCCCACCAGACCATGCATTCTCTGAGGGCAGAGAGTAAAGCTTACATATCCTTTTATCCCCTCCCACGTCCGTGGTGGCCTTGCACAGAGTCAGAAGTCATTAAGCATCTTTCGCTTGTCAGCACTGCCTTTGGCGATGATCTAGCACAGGCTGGAGGCAGGATGATTACCTGTCTGGGGGTGGGTGAGTAGTCAGAGTATATGAGCTCCAGACATGGCCCCTCCTGTCCAAGATTCTGAGTGACCATGATGCTGTTGGACACTCACCAAGTCCTATCAGGGCAGGACCTCATTTGATACCTGAGCTAATCCCGAGAAGCCAGGCATCTGGGCCCCCATGAGAGTTAGGGGACCTCTGCCATTCCCCTGGTGCCTCTGAACAAGCTTCTTCTGCCCCTGCCCATTTGCCCTTTCTGTTCCTCTGTCAGGAACACCTTCTCCCCATCTTTGCCTATCCAAATCCCACCCTGAAAGTGCTGAGAGATACCTAGCCTCCCTTTGAAGTCTTCCCAGATGGTTCTAGCCACAGGACTCTGCCACTTTCCTGGAGGCCAAAGGTGGTTACAGTATAACCTCAAAATACCTAGCTCTTGACTTAAATATTTACTGAGTCTACTGTCTCCATGTCTACCCTCGTGCTGGCTGCTGAGGGGGACACAAGGGACATGGAAGTCACTTCAAATTTCTACACTTAAGTGGGAACAAAACAAAAGCAAAGCTCTTCTGGATGCTATTCTGTCTTCTACTTGTCTCTAGCTTTCCTTATTAAAGTCCTGCTGTTCCAGGAAACAGAAGTGACTCTAGGACAGGAAGGCTGGGAGAAAGGTGGGACTGGGGTTTGACTCTCGCTTCTGCCATTAATTTGTGTTCTAGGGCAGTTTCATGAACCTCTCTGAGTCTCATTTCCTTATCTGTAAAATGGGGCTGACAATCTATGCCAAGTAGTGATCCTGGGAGAATTAAGTGAGTACATATGTTTATACAGCACAGAACACAAGGCTGGGTGGAGATCCAATAAGTACTGTGGCTGGTTTCTCTTTGGATAGATAGCATTCTCTGTTTACTCTATGTAATTCGAGCTTCTGGAGAGCTGTGTTATAATTTTCTTAGACCTCAGTGCTCCCACATAGACCATCTCACTAGACCTTTTCAACAATCTTTTTAGACTTCTTAATAATTGTGCAATGACTTCTCCTCTGCTAGACCATGTCTCTAAGAGGATTTGGTCGCCACTGTGTCTTCTGCGGGCCTGGCACTTAGTGGTGCCCTACCGATAGTTATCAAATGAGGACTCATTGGGAGCAAGAATGCTGCCACTAGCACACGAGGAAATGTATGTGTGATTTTCTCGTAAATTTTCCAACGCCGTGTAAATATAACAACAGTAATAGTTTTTGTGACTCCATCTGACAGAGGAGAAAGCTCAAGTCCCCCAGGTGTTAAAGATCCAAGGCACTGGTCCTTCTATCCCTGATGCTCAGATCTGATTAGCGGTCACCATGAACTTCATGTCATCAAGGGCAGCGGGGAGGAAGGAATAGCAGAGTGACTTGATTGTCAGCTTTCCCCAGTACCCACCGCAGACAAGGGCCAGCAGGTGCGTCTGCCAGGTAAGGGCATAGAACATGCCGCCGATGGCGATGCAGGAGAGGACGCAGTTGTAGCTCCAGAGGCCCGTGTAGATCATCTTGAAGGGCGTGGCCACTGTCAGGGCTGTGGGACAAGGTGTGGTGCTTTTGGCTGGTTCTGGGTCACAGCACAAAGGCCACCTCGTGGCCGGTGCTGGGACTCAGGGTGGCCTCACTCTGGCCATTTCCCCCATGGCCCGTCCTTACCCATCCAAGGAGCCTCTACAAATGGTGTCTGGTCTCAGGAAACCAACGATGGAAAGAGGGAGTGGTTTCTGAGCTGTTTTTCAAAGATTTCTCACAGAGGTACTTCCAGGGTGAGGGGAGGCCATGGTGCTGGGCCTTCAGGCTCTCCCCGCTCCTTGAGCCGGAGCGGCTGCATTTTTAGCAAATAAGGTTTCAATTGAAGATGTTCTGCTTCAAATAGGTTGAGAGGAAAGTATGTGGCTACACGGAGATAGCGAAATGATACAACAGACGGGGTAGGATGTGGACAGTAGGTGAATTTATGAATGCCTCTTGTGCTACTTTTAATTTTGTAATTTTCTGATATTTGAAGTTGTTCCCAAATAAGTCTTATTAAAGTTCTGCTTCCAAGACATTTTTGAAAAATGTTGGAATAAGTCAACAGGCTCCTATTCCCAATGACTCCAACCCTAATTTCTGACTCTATGTCCACCTATACATAGGTAAATGCGTGTGCCTACATAAACATATATGTAGAAATATTAAATCAGATTTGTCAAATGGCAATCCAATTTTTGAGGAATTTTTTTTTTTTTTTTTTAGCTAACTCTAATTTTCCTTTTAGCTATCAAAGTGTTGGGTCGCTTATGCCCCTGCCTGCTCTGCTACTGCTCCCACCCTTTCTTCCCCTCCTCAGTCCCAGGGACTCAGTTTGCAGGCCAATCAGTCTTCATTCCCTTTGCCTCTCTCCACATGTCCTCTTCCTACAATCTGCTCCCTTTCGAGATCCAAGAAAGAGAAAAGTAAGTCTCTACCCCTGAAAGTGTTTAAAAACTCCAGTGAAGGCAGTAAGTCTAGGATATTTTCTGTGTGTGGGGGAGGCTGACCTCAGGAAAATTATCGCTGCACAGTGGGGCCCTGTCTTACCTGCTAGCATCCCCACGACTGAGCCAATGGCCGCATGCAAGCACATGAGTGGTGAGCAGACGAGCAGAGCCACCAGGAACATGCCACCCGTCCAGGGATTGTCACAGCCGTACACCTGGCCGACCCCGGTGGGGATGGCTTGTAGCAGCTGCAAAGTCAATAGAGTCTAGATCACCGGAGTGTGTACTGATAATGCAAAGACCTCGGGGCCAGGACTGAGCTGTTCCAGGGGATGGTGGATGGGTAATGGGGTGGAACAGGAGGATGACTGTGCCCTCTAGCCTGTGAGAGAAGATGGGAGGGCAGGAGCTGGAACAAATAGCTCCTCACTCCATCATCTCGCAGGCATCTGAGCATCCCTCAGGCAATGCCAAGCAGAGCCCCCCAACACCGGGGTCGGGCAGGGTGCTTATGAGGGTCACATGGCTTCTGCTTTGAGGGGACCGGACTGCCATTGGGAGTTTCAGGACACTAGGGGATTCTTCTAAACCTTCTTAAATCCTAGAAATATTCTAGGAATATTGGAACTATTCTAGGCCATTGTGATGGATGATTAGACAGAAGGTCATCTAGCTCACTGGTGGCCAAACTGAGGTTATAGCCTCTGATCTTGACCCTAGTTTGTTGGTGGCTGCTGCACACTAGTGCTACCTGGGGGACTGGGGGCCCAGGAAGGAGGAGGAAGCACTTTTCTTGTTGTCAAGGAGCACTTAGCATTGAAGGAAGGTAACGTGTAGAACAGCTGGAGAAAAGCCGGAAACCCAACCATCCCTGTTAGAATTGGAGATGATTAATTGGCAGTGACATCAGATGGCCTTTTTTTTTTTTTTTTGCTCAAACTGAATCATCTACATTTTGAGGTTATCCTTTGAGGGTGAAAAGGAAAGGGGGGATTGGCGAGGTAGGAGGAGCACTGGCCTGGGGGGTCGAGGGCTCCAGCTTTCGGAGGGGCTTTGCATACGGTCCTTGTGTGACCATGAAGAGGCTGCCTTTAGCAGATACTCTTTCAGCTTTAAAGTTCTGCAAACTCTTTTCCCTACCAGATCATATGACCGCTTTGTGGATAGGGATCCACTATGGCTGGGTATCAAATAGGTGCTTAATAACTATGTATTGATTAGCTCAGTGGTTTTTAAACTTTGTTTATATTGGAATCACCTAATGACCTTTAAAATATATATATATTGATGCCTGGCTCCTCCCCAGACATTCTGGGAGAACGTGACTGGTGCCCCAAGGGATTCTAATGTACGACAGTTTGGGGACCAATACATTAGTTACAGATAATCTACTAAAGATGTTGAGTTAATCACCTTTCTCCCTTTGATAAAATTTTGTGCTTTTGAACTTGGTTAAATTCTGAAGTTAGTCTAATTTCTTTGTTTGAGACTTCCCCAAACACTGTTTGGGCCAGAGCCTATAGACTGACAGGTTGGGGGCTCGGTCTTATTTAAAGGAACCCTGAAAACACTTCGTACGAGTCCAGCGAACTCAACTTCAGTGTGGGGAACAGGCTGGAAATCTACTCAGTGACTCTTCCACGACTTCCCAAGGTCTGAAGAACGCAGGATGCTGAGGGGAATCCAGCTCCCACCTTCTCATCTGGGAACACAGGTTTTAAGGCCACGCAGTCAAGAATGAGAGGAATGAGGGACAAGCTGCCTTGGAATGGAGCCTGGGTTTGGAATGAAGCTTCCTCCACAGGGGACTGTATTTTAGCCTGGTGAACTGGGGCTTGGAGGGGCTTGCCCTCCCCTCCGCTCTGCTGTCTGGGCCACAGCCGACACCCCGGGGTGTGAAGGGCAGTCAGGTGTGTGGTGGAAATTTACTGAGCACCAGCCTCCTCATATG